TGCTTCTGCACTGGTTCTGGGACTCAGACTCAGGTCTTCATGCATGACTGGCAAACACTGCCGACTAAGTCATTTCTTCAGGCCCTGTTCCTTTTTATATATTTTGTTTTTGAGCAAATAATATAACTGATCCCCCTCTGCAGTTTTGTTGGTAAAATTGTAAATTTGTAGTAGATACTGGGACTAAAAGGAGGTGTGTCCTGTAATCTAGAAACAAAATCAGATATGAAGGGCTGAGAGTATGGCTTGGTTGGTAGAGTGCTTACCTAGCATGCGATCTCTAGACAGACAGACAGATACACACAGACACACACACATACCCCAAACATGTAGTTTATGCTAGCATTCTAAACATTAAAAGGCTACCTATATATACCTGAAGTTAGAACTACATATGTTTAATTATGAATAATTTAAATAGCTTTTCATTTGATAGATAGTTAAGAAGCCTGACAAAAAACCAGGGTTGTAGGAAACATATATCTGTAATCTTTGAAGTATTGAAAAGGAATGCTTAGAAGAAAGAAAGAATAAGATGTCTGAGTACCAAACTAGAAATTTTGATTTTTTTTTAATTTATTATATATACAATATTCTGTCTGTGTATATGCCTGAAGGCCAGAAGAGGGCACCAGACCTCATTACAGATGGTTGTGAGCCACCATGTGGTTGCTGGGAATTGAACTCAGGACCTTTGGAAGAGCAAGCAATGCTCTTAACCGCTGAGCCATCTCTCCAGCCCCTGATTTTGGTTTCTGGGGTTGACTTCACACAGTAGTGTTGTGATGAGGAGTGGAGTGGGCTGTGTCCCGCCGCCCAGAAATAATTACACACAAATTGTATTCATTTAAACACTGCCTGGCCCATTAGCTCTAGCTTCTTATTGGCTAACTCTCACATCTTGATTAACCTGTTTCTATTAATCTGTGTATCACCACGTGATTGTGGCTTACCGGCAAGAGTCTAGCCTACGTCCGTCTCGGGCAGGAGAATCATGGCATCTGCCACACTTCCCTTCTTTCCAGCATTCTGTTCTGTCTACTCCGCCCACCTAAGGGCTGCCCTATCAAAAGGCCAAGGCAGTTTTCTTTATTCAACCAATGAAAGCAACACATAGAAAGAAGACCCTCCTACACCACAGTAGGTCCAATTACTCTAACGAGGACTGGGAGCCATGTAGGTAGTTTGCTCTCCTAAGCACATACTTGTGTCATCTGTCTCCAGTGTCTGTCTAGTCACGTCTGTTTATAATGCTTTCTCACAAACTTGCTCATTGCAGGTAAAAGTGCTTGCCCCAAGTCGTACATGGTGTAAGGAGGGAACTGAGTCCCTCAAGTTGTCCTTCTACTTCTACAGTTCCCTAACAACACATGTGTTTACACACAAACTTAGACAAATAAATATGGTTAAAAACATTTTTTAAGAGATAGCTCATTTTGTTGGGAACAGTTCATATTAGCTCAGAAGTCCAGCCTTCTGGAGTTTCCTTCTGTGGGGTTTAGTTGCTTTTGAAGCACATAAGTTGTTTGCAGCTGTTCCATGGAGTGACTCCCCACATGGCTGGAGAGCTGCTGGGTCTCTCAGTTACTTTTAGAAGGAAGATGCTGTGTAGTTGTGTGAGACTCTGGAAAGACAGGAAAGAGTGACTTAAAAATCTTAGAAGTGAAAATGGAAACATTGTAGATAAAGAACTAGAAAACAGTGGCCACCTGCAAGTGTACTTCCTAATCTTTGCTCTGATTGAAAGTGCATTAGTAGGAAGTGCTAAACTGTCAGATTTCAAGCTGTAGTGTTGATTTGAGCTTCAATTTAGACAACGGTTCTGTTTAAAACTGTCCTGCTTTAGAAGACCTTTAGGACTAGTAAATTTTAGATTCTCTAGAGATAATGAGATAGGATTTGAGCTCTGTAATCTTAGTTGGGCTAGATAGTAATGTAGCCCATAATAGTAAGATGAACCATTATGAAAATTCAGATGCTTTGGAGCTTAATTAATTTGCCGTTTGCTTTGATGTCCTGTGAGATGCCAGTGAGAAAGCAGTGGTTGCTGTAAGGCTTGGATAGCTTGAGAAGACCTAGAGAGTGAGACTGTGAAGATGGCTCACTCAAGCTGTTTGCCACGTAAGCTCGAGGACCCGAGTCTGGATCCACAGCGCCTCCATGTCCGTGATCCCAGCACTGGGGAGACAGAAGCAGTTGGATCCCAGAGTTTTCTGGTTAGCTATCCTAGCTGAACCAGTGAGGTACAAGTTCAGTGCGTGACCCTGTCTTAAAAGCTAAGGTGGAAAACAATGGAAGAAGATGCCCAACATTGACCTCTGACCTCCACATGCACATCGTTATGTGTGTAACACCCTTTGCACATGCACATCTAGAAAATGACTAATAATTCTGGCTAGAAGTGATCATTTGGAATACTTTGTAAATAATGCAAGTGAGATATAACTAGCAGTGGTAGGGCATGTACCTTTAGAATGGTTTCTCAAACCTGTGATAATATCAAAGGTACTATCATAGGTGTCTGACACTGGTTGCATTACTGAGTTATGTTCAAGGAATAGCGCACAAGACGTTGTTCAGATGTGCCTTGTTTCCTACCTTTCCTCAGTCTGCAAAGGTGCCTGGGGGAGAAATTTAAGCAGCATTAGAGTATACAGATATTAAAAAAATCTTGGATTTTGATGCTCTGTGTGTTCATGTGTTTACACATGTATACACAGTCTGGCATGTATGAAATTAGGACAACTTGCAGAAGTCGGTTCTCCTTTCGTCAGGAAATTCAGGAGTTGAGCTCAGGTTGTCAGGCTTCTGTCAGGGCCTTTACCTGCTGAGTCATCTTGCTGACCCTTGATGTGTTCTATAAAATAACCTGCTTGGAAATATTGACCTCTTTTTATTATTATTATTAGAAAATTGAAATCCAAATTGAGTAGACTGATAACGTGTTTTGTGCTGTGAAACAAGGTTTTTTTTTGTGATTGAACTGAGTAACTTTACTTTGTGGGGCCTTCTCTACCTGTTAAATGCCAATGGCACTTACCCGCAAAATGCTCTAGACTTTGTTGAATTTGGTAGGGGCAAGAGAGGCCCCATTTGAGAGTTGCTTTACTAGAAAAAATAAAAAGTAGATGTGAATTTGGTTCTGTCTTGTGTAGTGAGTAGTTGTGGGTGTGATGCCATGGTAGAGTGGCCGTGGGTGTGGCGCTGTAGTAGGATGCTTGCCTGACCAATGAGAGGTCCGAGGTTCAGTCTGTGCCCAAATTTAAAAATTACAGCAATTAGGAAACACATAAGTCATTTTTAATTTTCTAGGCAATGGTTTTGTATTTATTATTGTTATTATTTTAATTTTAATTTTTAGGGCATGCACTGGTATAGTTTTAGAGTCAGAGGTAAAATGAATTTATAAATTGTGTTATAAAGAAATAGTCCCTTAAGTTCATACCATCTGTTTTCAGTTTCCTAGAACAGTACTTTAAACTTTATTTTTAGATTAATTTTATTTTTTTTATGTGTATGGGTGGTTTTACTTGCATGTATTTACACCATGTGTATGCAGTGTCTTCAGAAGCCAGAAGAAGACACCAGAACCCTTAGATTGTAACTGTAGATGGCTCTGAACCATCCACCATGAGGGTGCTGCCAACTGAACCCAAGTCCTCTGCAAGAGCAGCAGGTGCTCTTAATTGCTGAGCCATCTTTAGAGCCCTACTTCACTATTTTGTTTGATCTTGTTCTTGCCATTCACCTTAGGTTTAGAACACAGGCATTTTCATTATTGAAGATAGACTTCTGCCATTTTCTGCTGTCTGATCTCTGCCCACCCACAGTTGTCTAGAGGGTTGGGAATAGGAAATGCAATCCTCCCAATATATATCTTACACATAGCAATTTTGTAAAATTAATCAGCAGTTGTGTTAATAGAACTGTTCTATGGTTGAGCCATTTTGGGCTCTGTGATTATTTTTTCTGTTTCTGTGTGCCTTGACCCCCTGCCTCCTCAGATAGGATTTTATGTATTTCATGCTGTACTCAAACTCAGTGCCTCTGAGTAGGGAAATAGCCGGAGATTCTTAATATTAAGTGCATATATTTTTACTTACTTGGTTTTCAGTAATAATGCTCTACCCTTTGACTATGCTTAGAGTCCCTTGATCCAAAGACCTTTTCCATGCAGTAAACGTGGGATCTTCTGTGTGAACAATGGGTGAAGAAGCCATTTAGTTTTTCCAAATGGAGAAGTAGCGTGGGAATCAGTTTCTTTTTTTCATTTCTGGCAGCACTGGCAAGTGGACTCATCATCTAGGGTGTGTATTCTACCATTAATCAACAGCCTCAGTTTTAGTTTTAGTTTAAGACAAAACATAAGCTGAGCATGGTAGTGCTTGCCTTTAATCCCTGCAATCAGGAGGCAGAGTCAGGTAGAGCTCTGAGTTCAAGGCCAACCTGGTCTACAGAGAGAGTTCCAGGATGGCCAGGGCTATACAGAGAAACCCTGTCTTAAAAAGAAAAAACAAACAAACAAACAAAAAACCAGAATCTCACTAAATTGACAAGCTGGCTTTGGATTCATGTAGCTTAGGCAAGCCTTCAACTTTTGATCCTCCTTACTCAGCCTTCCTGGTAGTTGGCATGAGCTACCAAACTTAGCTGGAGTCTGATTAAAGCAGACATTATACTATTTTATATCTTTTAGTTTTTGTTTTTGTCCATATGCAGAGGTCCTGGTCACCAGCATGACCTTCCCAGAAGTGCCTATGATAAAATCAGGTTAATTGTCACTTTCTTTTAAGCTTTAGAATTTGATTACTATTTTTCCCAGTCTCTCTTCCATTGTTTGTCCTCGTGGGTTATGTCTGTTTATTTTAGAAGGCCTTTATTATAGTCACAGATTTGAGGAGGAAGTGGACCTTATATATGTGTTCAGTTTGCATTCTTAGTCAGATGTTAGGGCATTCACTAGTTACATAAGAATTTTTGGCAGTCTGCTATAGTTTCACAGGTATTCTTTGTTGAAAAAGTGGGGATCCAGGGTGGTAATGAAAGACTAAGACAGGAGAATCATAATTTTGAAGCTAGCCTAGACAGCCCTATCTCAAAACTCAAATTAGTTGCCCAAAATGAAATAAGAAGCTGGTATACATTTAATAATACTTCTAAGTTAGAATTTTATACCTTTGAGAGTAAAAAATATACATATGAGACATGATGTACTCATGAATAATGATTGTCAGCTTAACAGGATCTAGAACCACTGAAGAGGCAAACCTGGATTTTCACAATAAGTTAATTGTGGTGGGAAGGCTTACCCTAAATGAGGGCAGCTTTGATCTTGCACTTCAAAAAAAGAGAGCTTGCAAATCAAAACAACTCTGAGATTCCATCTCACACCTATAAAAATGGCCAAGATCAAAAACACTGGTGACAACTTATGCTGGAGAGGCTGTGTGGTAAAGGGAACATTCCTGCATTGCTGTTGGGAGTGCAAGCTGGTACAGTCCCTTTGGATGTCAGTGTGGCGATTTCTCAGAAAATTAGAAAACAGCCTTCCTCAAGACCCAGTAATACCACTTTTGGGTATATACCCAAAGGATGCTCAATTGTGCCACAAGGACATGTGCTCAACTATGTTCATAGCAGCTTTGTTTGTCATAGCCAGAACCTGGAAACAACCTAAATGCTCCTCGGCCGAAGAATGGATAAGGAAAATGTGGTACATTTACACAGTGGAGTACTACACAGCAGAAGAAAAGATAATGACATCTTGAATTTTGCAGGAAAATGGATGGAGCTAGAAAACATTATTTTTAATGAGGTAACCCAGACCCAGAAAGACAATTACCAAATGTACTCACTCATAAATTGTTTTTAAACATAAAACAAAGAAAACCAGCCCTCAAATCACAATCCCAGAGAACCTAGACAACAATGAGGACCCTAAGAGAGACGTACATAGATCTAATCTACATGGGAAGTAGAAAAAGACAAGATCCCCCAAGTAAATTGGGAGCATGGGGACCTTGGGAGAGGGTTGAAGGGGAGGGGAGCGGCAGGGCTGGGAGCAGAGACAAATGTAGAGCTCAGTAAAATTTTGAAAAAAAGGAGAGCAAGCTTGCTGAGCACTAGCAGTGTTCATTGCTCTTTCCTGGTGGTGTGTGCGTTGTGAACAGCAGCTCCTGTCCCGTCTCCGTCCCTGCCCTCCTGTTACGAACTGTATCCCCTCCATCTCTGAGCCAATACAAACCTTTCCTCCTGCAAGTTGCTTCATGTCAGAGATTAGACAAATATTTTGATAGCATTTAGTCTAAAGACATGTTAAACTCTGGGCAGTGGTGGCACACGCTTTTAATTCCAGTACTCGAGAAGCAGAGGCTGGTGAATCTCTGTAAGTTCAAGGGCAGCCTAGAATAAAGAGTGAGTTCCACAACAGTCAGAGCTGTGACACAGAGAAAACCCTGTCTCAAATAGCAAACAAACAATCAAAAGACAGATTAAACATGCTCCATGTATGGTTTCATGAAGGAGCTGGAGAGGTGGCTCAGTGGTTAAGAGCTCTTGTTGCTCTTCCAGGGTTCAGTTGTGGGTGACTCACAATTGTTTATTATTCTAGGCCTTGGGGATCTAATGCCTTCTTCTGGCTTCATACAGTGCACATACACACAGAGAAACACATAAATAAAAATGGATTAAATTAAAAAAAATCATGGAATTCTGTGGGTCTTCTTTACCATAACAGGCTTAATCAAGTCTGATGCTCATAGTTGATGGGTCATTGTTTTATAGAACTAAGTAGATACAGTGGGAATCCAGGGGATGAAACGTGGTCTTAGGAGGCTTTGAGTAGTGGATAAATTTGGAGAGGCAGAAGGAAGAGTGTATTCTACAGGAGACAGCTTTAGGAAGGGTTCTTGTAGATGGGGCTAGTGTTGCTGAAGGCTGAGCTGTGCTAAGGGTTTGTCAATAGTGAGTGATAAAGTTGGAGGTGAAAGATTGTGGTTATGAGAACCTCATTTGGTTTTTAACTTACAGACAATACAGAGAGTATCATTTCTTGAGAGAAATATGATGAAGATAACATTTATTTTAAAATCAGTGTATCAATAAGAGACACATTCAGAGCAGGAGACTAAAGATGAAACAGGGTTGTGGCTCATACTTTGGGAGGCAGACGCAAGCCGGGTCTACATAACAAATTTCAGCTCCGCTAGAGTTACATGATGAGATCTTTTCTCAGAGGAGTGGGGTGTCAGTGTAGCAGGACCGACATTTGTTTATTACGTGGTAGGTACCACTTTCTTGATGTAGGTGTTATGATGTCTTCATTGTGCAGACAGAGAATTGAGACATGCAGTGATGAGGAGGTGGCTGAAATGGTGCGGGGAGGTGAACGTCCCAGTGTGGACTGCTGATGACTTTGGATTAAGTTCGTAGCTGACTGTGCCGAGTGAGGATGGTGGTCCTTTCTTTTCCCACTCTCCTTTCCTCTTTTCTTTCCCAGAGATGGCATGGGTTTGGGGAGCATAATCTATTGGACAGACCAATATATATAGCAGAGGTAAAAGTCATGAATTCCTGGGGGGGGGATACAAAAAAAAGAAGAGAAAAACTATGATTAGAAGTTTAGAATTCCTCCTCCCAGTATTAGTGTTAACATAGGTCAGTTTTCAGATATGTTCAGACCTTATTGGGTGCCCACCCCATTTTTGGTACTGGGGATTGAACCCAGAGCCTTGCTCATTCAAGGTGAACACTTTGCTATGGAGCTTCCCATGTTCTCCCACATCCCAGACTTCCTCTTCCAAAGTACAGAATTCTGTAAGTGCTTTTGCTGTTCACAGAGCAGTGTAGTGTTTATTAGGTGCTCTCTGTTCTTCCTGCATACGACGTATGCAGAGATTTCTTTGAGCTCTGCATTATAACTGTAGCATGGTTTTTGTTTGTTTGTCTTGTTTTGTTTTAGCTTGGTTCTACAGCCATTGGCATCCAGACATCAGAGGGTGTGTGTCTAGCTGTGGAGAAGAGAATTACCTCCCCACTAATGGAGCCTAGCAGCATCGAGAAAATTGTAGAGATTGATGCTCATATAGGTAAGTAATAAGTGGAAGCTAATAGAAGATTTGGCATTGGTTAATTAATCCTCAGTGATCCAAGGGAAGATCATACAGTAAATGGCTTGTCTTCTGATTCCCTATTATTTTCAAGGCCTTGTACATAAATTTAGACAGTAGAGCAGCCTCAGGACTCATTATGCTTAACCTACTACCGGAAATTCTTTTCATCTTCAAATTTGTTGTATTTTACTTTCTGCAGTGCTTGGAATTGAACCCAGATACTCTCAGGTGCTAGGCAAGTGTTCTACCACTGAACTATAACCCAACCTTTGGCAAATACAACATTTAAATACATAAAGATTGGATCCTAATCTAGTTCTTGTGATGACCATTTTACCCTGGTAATAGTAAGCTAGCTAGAGCCAAGATAGTATGGAAAATTGTGGTGTCCACTGAGAAAGAATAATTCTCCAAGATCTTTGGAGTGTTTAAGGTTCAGAGTGTTACAGTTGACCAGATCAACCCTATTCCTGTGTGTTAGACTTAATTGTTTTCCTCCCAGCTACTTTTACCCTCCTTTCTCTGGTCTTCAGTATAATTTTCTTGCTTTGGCTCTTGACATTGTAGCATTAAACAATGTGTACTTTTACATTTTACTGCTTTGTGTTGTAGTTGGCTATTCAAATTTGCTTATTTACTCAACCTAATTAATACAACATTTGCAAAATAATTGCTTAAAGGCCATAAGAACTAAATGCCATGGTGACTGTGGGAGCATAGTATTCTCTTTGTTAGCTAGAGAAGCAGATTTTACAATTGGAACATCATGTCTGCTGTATCTCAGGTCAACTGTCTTTTGGAGGTGGGTCAATGTCACTTCATTCAGAGATAGAAAACGCTATACTAGACTCCACAGCTATAGACAAGAGGGAGACATGGTGTTTGTCTTCCAGGATCAGGCAGTCTTATTTGTAGGGGTGCAGTGTGATCAGTGAGGATATGAAGGAGAAACAAGAGTTTTATCTGGGCTCATTGGTCATGGATATTAGTTATTTTTTTCTACACTGTGACCAAAGATCTGACAACTTAAGAGAAGGAACCTTTCTTTTGGCCCGCTCACAATTTCAGAGGGTTCACTGTCATCATGATGAAAGCATTGTGAACATCTATGTTTACATCATAGTAGACCTGCAGTAGAGAAGAATGCTAGTGTTGGTCCCTGGCTTTCTCCTTTTTCCATTTTATTCTATCTGTAGCCCCAGCCCAGCTACCCACACTCTAATGGATCTTCCCCGTTTTGTTAATCCTTTAGAAACCTGCCCCAGACACACCAAGAGGTATTGCCTCGGTCTCCCCTATCAGTGGAAAGTGAAGATTAGCCATCATGGTTGAGTTTGCCAAGCGTGGCAGCTCAGGCCTCTAATTCCAGTGCTGTGAGACTGAGCAGCAAGACTATAGCCAATCAGGGTTTCAGAATTCGTTTAAGGCTAGTCTGGGCAATTTAGGGAAGGTTCTGTTACAAAACTAAAAATAAGAATAGGGCTGGAAATGGCTGTAGCTCAGTGGAGGAATATGTGCTCATATATGAGGCCCTAGAAAAGCAAAACTATCTGCTATAAAATATCGGGGGCATTAACATTTTAGCATGATTGGAAAGTGAAGTCTGTATGGCAAGAGATGAGTCTGGAGGTCAGAGAATAGAAAATCTCCCTCTCCAGTCCTGCTAAAGGACTTGGACTTTACTTTTGTGTTGCTAGGAAGTGGTCTAAACAGTGAGACACTGCAATTCCAGTAGTTTTAGAATATTCTCCTGACAGTTTTTGAAGGTAGGTTGATGGGGGCTGAGAATGAAGGCAGGGGAGTTAATAGTTAAGAAAATTTTTGGTGTAGCCAGGCAGTGGTGGTACACACCTTTTATCCCAGCACTCAAGAGGCAGAGGCAAGTAGATCTCTGAGTTTGAGGACAGTTTGGTCTGTAAAGTGAGTTCCACGACAGACAGAGCTATTACCCAAAGAAACCCTGTCTCGAAAAAGTAAAAACAAAACAACAACAAAAAATGCCACCTGTGTAAAGATGACATGTAAATTCCTGTAGCATTCTAAAATTGTTTTTAGTAGTTCAAGTGTTTGGTCATCAGTCAAATTATGAAATTTTTCAATGAAGGCAGTAGCCAAAAGAGAACTTAGGATCTGATTGGTTGTGAAGGCCAAGGAAGACAGAGATTTCCACAAGGGAGGTGAGTTGAGACAGTAATATCCAACTAGATGGACTGAGAATCATTTGACTTCGTAGCTCTGAAGCTTTGGAGGGAAACACAGACTGAGACTGAGATTTGAGTCATGGCGTAGAAGTAGCAATTACAGCTGTAATCTTGGCACGTTCGTCCATCAGGCAGCTTTCTCTCTAAAATAACTAGTTGGTTTGTTGGAATAGGGACCTGAAGAGACTTTTGGTGTTTTCCTGAGGTCTTCTGCTGTAGTCCACAGGGAGACAGTTTTCTTCTCAGGTTTGGTTGTAGTGTTTGCTTAGCTCAGAAGTGCATCATGGGGCTAGCAAGGTGGCTCAGTGGATAAAGGCACGTGACGCATAAACCTGGTGACTTGAGTTCCATCCCTGGAACTCATGTAAAAGGTGAAAGTAGTTGTTCTGACCTCTACACGTGTTTTGGGACATGTGCACCTGCTCTCACACACACTGTACACGTACACACAGATAAGCTAATAATGATGAAAATGCATGTTAAGTGTGTCGTGCTCTGTAAGATTTGTAAAGGGATTCGTAGACTGCAATATGTGGACATTCATGTTTGGCTGGCTTACTATCTGCACTTCACTGTCAACATGGTTGGCTTTCTATTGTGTGATGATCATAACTGTATTCAGTGGTCATCGTTTCCCATTTATTCTGTTGGGTTGGTTGCTCAGAGATTGCTGCCATGGTTCCAGGCCAGATTTTTAGTATTTACTTAGTGGATGAAAAGTTGTAGGAAGTTTTGGCCGGTTGGTCACTGTTGCTTTTACATTGCAGGTTGTGCCATGAGTGGGCTAATTGCTGATGCTAAAACTTTAATTGATAAAGCCAGAGTGGAGACACAGGTAAAATCAGCATCTTCTCTGCTTTTTACTGTGATGCATGTGCTCCTTGTTTAATGATGATAGAGCTACTTGGGTGATATTGTAAGTGTCTGTGTTACTATTAGACATGGCTCTTGGGAACATTGTGGGTTGATTCCCCTGGTACAACCCTGGGGACTTGGGATTTTGCTCTCTAGGCATTGTAGCTTAAAGCAGGTTCTGGTCAGCTTCTTCCAGGTTTACCTTACTTAAAGAAAGCCCCTGATTGGCTTTCTGTGGAGCATCATGGTGGGATGTGGTCATAGTAAAAGGCCTTTTCTGCCAGGCTTATAAAATTGTTCTCATCTGGTAAGCAATGATTTGTACCAGGTGACTTTTTAAGAATGTTGTTTTCTTTAATAAAACAGAAAACAAAAACCACAAAAGAAATCAGTGGGTATCTGGTTTGACTGTAATAGGCTAGTATATATAAGAAAAAAATAATTGCAAGGTAGAAGTTTTTGCTTTTATTTGCATGCTTGTTCTCCATACTTATGTAAGAATAATTTAACATAAACTCTTAACAGGATAAGATGAGTATTTGAGGAAAATTGACACTTGGTTACTAACATTGACTGTTAGAAGGCTGAACTTGCCACTTTACTCTTAGATGTTAGCCCTAGTCTTTAAGACCAGCAGCCTTTCTTATTTTCAGAGCTTATCTGTGTGTACATGCATGTGCTCTCTCGTCTGCTCTTTTCCCCTTTATTTTCCTCTGCTCCCTCTCGAGACACAATCTTTCTGTGTACAGCCTAGCCTCACCTTGAGCTCATGATCCTCCTGATGGCATGGATCACAGCATATGCCATAGCATGTGGCAATCAGACTAGTCCCTCTCTGATGTAGTTCCAAGTATTCAGTGGCTAGTATTAATCAAGAAGGTGTTGATTTGGGCAGGTGATCTGTCATCCTAGCCCTTGAGAGGCTAAGGTAGGAGGAGGATTGCGAGTTCTAGGTCTGTCTCCGGAACAGGAAGAGGTGTGCGAACCTCAATTTTCACTTGGTAGAGAAGTGGTGGAGTGTTTGAGTTTCCCTTTTCCAAGGAAGCAGTATCATTCTTTGTCCTTTTTCTAGAACCATTGGTTCACCTATAATGAGACAATGACGGTGGAGAGTGTCACCCAAGCTGTGTCCAATCTGGCTCTGCAGTTTGGAGAAGAAGATGCAGATCCAGGTGCCATGGTGAGTTAGTTCTGATGCTTGTGCTGAGCCTGGTTGCTGTGCTGTAGTACTGAGGGCATTTGTCCTCTGCCCATGTTTTCCCCACTCTCATTCTCATTATTTGTAGCCTCTTGTAAATGAATTCTTTTTGGTTCTAGTCTCGTCCCTTTGGAGTAGCATTGTTGTTTGGAGGAGTTGATGAGAAAGGACCCCAGCTGTAAGTACCATTCCCACCCTCCCTATTTTAGGGTAGTGGTGATGATTATGATTTGTAGTGTGGTCTAGTCATTTAGATCAACTCTGAAATTTACTGAAGAGTTAGAAGGGGTTAGAAACATAACTCAATTTGGTAGGGTGCTTGCCTAGTTGCCTAGTATACACAAAGCTCTTGGTTTCATCCCACTACCACATAAAACCAGTGTGGAAGAGCATGCCTATATTCCTGGTGTTCTGAAAGTGTAGGCAGAAGGATAAGTTTAAGTTTGTCCGTGGCTACATAGTAAGTTACAGACCAGTCTTGAGCCACTTTGCTTTAAAAGGAAAGAAACAGCTAGGTGGTGTCACACACCTTCAATCCCAGCACTCGGGAGTCAGAGGCAGGCATCTCTGAGTTTGAGGCCCCCCCTGGTCTGCAGAGCAAGTTCCAGGACAGTCTGGGATACATAGAAACCTTGCCTTGAAAAGCCAACTAGTAAACAAATAAATTAAATGAAAAGAAAAGTAAAAAGAAAGAAGCATTCATTAGGAAAAAGTAGGACTTCTGAGTCAGTGTTTCTGTGCCGTTTATGTGAGAATTTAGGGATTCATGGAAAACCTCTGTAGAAGCAATGCTAATTCTCGGAAGAGTTAGAAGTTACCTTGTTGCTATTTCCACCTGATCTTCATTCTCACATTGGTGTGTCAAAGATAAGATTGACAATTGATTAAGACTGTCATAAATACCATGGTCATTCTGTTAACATCTTGGGTGTACATAAGAGCCATGGTTATGTTCTTCTCTCCTAAGACCTTGAGGAAGCTAGTGATTTTCTTTTCTTTTTTTAAACTTTTATTCTTCATGGATTTCCCATCATGCTTCCTGATACCATTTACCTCCCAGACCCCTCGAATCTGCTCCCTAATCTCCCACCAGAAACAAAATGTAAAAGAAAACTCCCAAAACAAAGGAACAAAGCAAAAACAAACAAACCAACAAAAATAAAGACTCTTGTAAAGGTTATAATGTGGTCCATTGAGTTACTAGTGATTTTCTTAACATTTTTTAAGTTACGATTTTAAGTGAATTGTTTGGTTATCTCACAAAGCAGGTTTCATTGTGGCATTTCTCTGTGTGCAGATGCATATATCAATAGTAAGGACCTTTTAAAAGAATTATTTTCTCAAAACAAAAAGTTTTAGGAACTGTGCCTGAACTATGCCTCAGTACTTGGATAGTATGTCCTGGCTGCAGGGTGAAGCTCTCAGACTTCTTTCATTGAGGCATTTGTGGCATGAAATGCTTCTCTCTAAAGCATTGGTGTCCTTTTCAGGTTCCATATGGACCCATCTGGGACCTTTGTACAGTGTGATGCTCGAGCAATCGGCTCTGCTTCAGAGGGTGCCCAGAGCTCCTTGCAAGAAGTTTACCACAAGGTAATCAACCATTCTTATAAATTTCTCCATCATTTTATAAGTCTCTGTAATCTTATAACTTCTCTGCAATTAAAACTATAGGCCTGAAGAGTTTTGTTTTAAGTTTTGACAGTCGCTTTGGACTCACAACCTAAAACAAGACATCAAACACTATTTTTCTAGCAAAACAATCTACTTATTAATCTTTTTCCTCATTTGCAACTGTATTTACCGGTATAGATTTGTCTGTTCTTGTACTTTTCATGAATGAAGTTAATACGGCTTGTCATTCTGGTGTTGTGAGTCTGCTGGAAGTGAAGCCACTGAACTTTTTAGTTTTGGAGACAGGATCTCTCTGTGTCGTCCCGGTTGTCTGGTGTTTGCTGTGTAGATCAGGCAGTATTCTTTCTCCTCACAGCTTCACTTAGCAGTTGATAATGCCTAGTGTGGATATTGAGACAAGTGAGCACCTGGTACTTTCTTTCTGGAATGGGAAGGGTTGAGGTTTTGTGACTCATGGGTATGGTTGAAGGCTACCATGCATATCTCCGGGTGACTCACATAAGGATACCCACTTACATCAACACCTGATGTAGGGATGCTTGAAAGGTATTTTTGGGTTTGGCATAGAGATAAGTCTCAACAAAAGTTAGGGCTACATTATACTGTATTCTCTGATTTCTGTTGCTATGTAGAACATCATGACCATGGCAATTTATAAAGGGAAGAATTTATTTGGGCTTAATTCCAGAGGAATAAGAGTCCATCATGATGGAGAGGCATAGCAGCAGGTGGCAGGCACAGTGGCAGGAGCAGGAAGAACTCACATCCTCAATGCAAGAATGAGGCAGGGAGAGGAAACTGAAAACAGGGTGAGGCTTTAAGCTCTCAAAGACTGCCCCCAGTGAATACTTGCTCCAGCAAATATTTACCTAAACGTTCCCAAATAGTACCAGCTGGAGACCGAGTACTCAAATATTAAAGCCCGTGGGGAGCGTTTCTTATCTAAACCACCACAGTGTGCAGTAGCATTATATCTTTGAAAGATTTCATAGTTTAACAACAATTTTTTAATTACTAAAAATGATAATAATCATCTGAGCCTTTAGCAAAGACTTTTTATTTTATTTTTTATTTTAATTCTTTTCCCATGGCTCTTCTTGCCTTCATGTCTATGGCTGCTGAGATTGGGGTGGCCGTGACACTTTCTTAAAGGGATACAAGAGAGTTTATGGCATCAGTTAACTGTTACTTTCATGAAAGATTTGGCTGTGTCTTCTCACAGAATTTGTTTCCAAACTGGGATCAGTGCTCAGGCTGTTGCTGTGCTTTATCAGCTAAACCTATGTAGTATAAAAGGGGAGACAGCTCCCTGGAAGAATGCTTGCCCAGCATGTGTGAGGCTGTGTGCTCAGTCCCTGATACTAGAAATGAAAGCCCTACAGCCTGGATGTCACTTGATTTATCTGCTATTACGAGAACTCACAGAGATCCGCCAGTGTCTGCTTCCTGAGCGCTGGGATTAAAGGTGTGCACCACCTCCTCTTGGCCAAAGGCCGGCTTTTCTTAAGCCACATGAACCAACATCTGCTGACTTTTAGCTTTTCTCCTGCAGCTTCCTTGCTTCAGCTTTTGTTGAGCTGAAGAAGTTAGAACTTTGCTGTGGAGTAGCCTTTGTTTTAAAGGAATGTTGTAACTGGTTTGATTGTTCAGTCACTAAAACTCATGTCAGCTCTTAAAAAGCTGTTTGACTTTTCTTTTTTTCTTTTTTTTCTTTGAAAGATTTATTTATTATGTATACTGTGTTCTGTCTGCATCTTTGCCTACATACTAGAAGAGGGAATCCGATCACATTATTGATGGCTGTGAGCCACCAATGGGTGCTGGGAATTGAATTCAGAACCTTTAAAAGAGCAGCCAGTGTGCCTCTGAGCCAACTTTCCAGCCCCTACTCTCAGATTTTATTTTGTGTGTATCGGTATTTAACCTGTATGTCTTTGTACCACGTACATGCAGTGCCCATGGAGGCCAGAAAAGGGTGTCATGTCCCATAGGACTAGAGGTGTACATGATTGTAAGCCATCATGTGGGTGCTGGGAAGTGAGCCCAGGGCTGCTATAAAAGCAGTAAATGCTCCTAACCACTAAACTTTCCATCACATCTTAATTTCTCTTTTCTTTCTCTTTGACAGGGTCTCACTATGTAACCATTGTGGGGGCTGGCCTGGAACTTGTGTAGTCCAGTATGGCCTCAAGTTCTGCAAAGAGCCGCCTGCCTCTCCTCCTGAGTATTGGGATTAAGGGCGTGCACCACCATACCCGACTGTTTTACTTTCCTACCAGGCACATGTTCACTGGAGTAGCACTTTGAATTTCCTCTTGGGCCTAGAGAGATGGCTCAGCAGTTAAGAGTACTCACTGCTCTATCAGAGCCCAGTACCTACATTTGGTAGCTCATAAATGCCAGTAACACCAGCTCTAAGGGATCTAACAGCCTTTTCTGACTCCCATGGGTACCCACACACACAAATACAATAATTTTTAAAAAGGGCTTTTCCTTTCCCTTCCCAGCTTGCGTACCTGTTTACCACAAGAGGGCTAGCTTTCAGCCTAACTCAAACTTTGATAAACTCTACTAAGCTTTACCACTGTTAGTTTTTGATTTAAAGTGAAGGGCATGTGACTCTTTCCTTTACTGGTATCCTTAGAAGTCATTACAGTTATTAATTGACCTCATTTTAGTACTATTGTGTCTTGGAATATAGAGAAGCCCAGAATAGATGGACTGTAGAGCCGTCAGACAGCTGCTACATTTGTTAGCGTTAGCATTGCCTGTGAGGCTGGTGGCCCTCCAGAGCAATAACAGCAATAGTATCAAAGGTGACTTGCTATATTCCTTAGTAAAGTGCTTCTTTTGTGAGCATGATACCCAGAATCCTCATTAATAAAAGCCAGCAATGCTGGAGAGATGTGTCAGTGGTTAAGAGAACACACTGCTCTTACAGAGGACTGGAGTTCGGTTCTTAGCACCCCTTTCTGTGGGTCCCTGCTCTCGTGTGTATACCCACACAGAGACACATATCATCAAAAAAGGAAGGGCAGCCAGATCCTGTAGCACAGGCTTGTATTCCCAATCCTTTGGAGGCAAAGACAGATGGATCACTGGGGGTCACTTCCAGGCCAGTGAGAGATTGGTTTCAACCACTTTTAAAGGTATCTGAAGAATAACATCTAAGGTTGTCTTTCGACCTCCATCCACATGCATGCACATTGACCCTGATTCCCATGACTCTGCACACACATGAACATTCACACACAAAAAAAAGGGGGGGGTGATAGATAATATTGAAGTTAAGCCAGTCGGTGGAGGTTTACGCTTTTAATTCCAGTACGCAGAGGCAGAAGCAGAGTTTGAGGCCAGCCTGGTCTACAGAGTGAGTTTCAGAACAACCAGGGCTACACTGAGACCCTGTCTCAAAAAAGCAAACAAAAAATTGAAGTTCAAACTATTGTGACAATTAGTCAGAAATAGCACAGAGACACAAAGTAATCTTACGCTTTTAGAAAAATGTCCCCAGTAAACTTGTTCACCATAGGGTTGCCACAGACCTGTAGTATCAGCTCAGTGCTGCAAAACAAAGCACAATAAAATGCCATTGGCCGGTAATATAGATCTTGGATGTGGAGGATATGAGGTGTAGTCGGTGTCCTACTTGGTGCCTGATATTTATTCATTTAATTTTATGTGTATCAACCTGACACAAGTTAGAGCCATGTGGGAAGTGGAAATTCATTTGAGAGAATACCTCATCAGATTGGCCTGTAGGCAAATCTGTAGGACATTTTTTTGATCTAATGATTGGTGTGGGTGGGTCCAGCTCACCGTGGGTAGTGCCATCTGTGCAGGTGAAAAAATCAAACCTTTAATCCCAGCACTTGGGAGGCAGAGGCAGGTGGATCTCTTGTGAGTTCGAGACCAGCCTGGTCTACAAGAGCTAGTTCTGGGGCAGGCCCCAAAGCTACAGAGAAATCCTGTCTTGAAAATCAAAACAAAAACAAAAACAAACCAAAGAAAGCAAACGAAACAAGCCAGGAGGAAGAAGCAGTAATCAGTACTCCTCACAGACGGCCTTTGCTTCTTTCCCTGCCTTGACCCCTCAGTCATAAAGTGGGACCTGAGAGGTCTAAGGGGAAACAAACCCTTTCCTTCCTGAGATGCTATTGGTCATGGTGTTTATCACAGCAATAGGAACCCTAAGACAGGTTTAAAAAAAAAAAATGAAAACTGGATTTTCTGAATCATTATTGGATTGCCTTTTTAGGTGAATTGGGCATTGTTAGAATATTGCTCAGGTTATGTTATCTTCTAAATCAAGGAATTCAAGTATACACTAGAGATGTGTGGCCTTTCTCTCTTTCTCAATGATCATTTGCTATGTGGGAGTTAGCAGCACAAAGTAAGACATTTTTCTTCTGAATCAGTATATCTACTTGCCATATACTTGAATATTTATATTATTATATAATGTGGTGTATTATATAGTGTATAATACGATGTAATGTTTATTAATATTGGCGAAGCCGCTTCTTCAGAGGAGGGGAGAGGGCTGAAGGAAGGGATGGTGTTCACTAACACCTCATCTCACTCTGTTCAAGTCTATGACACTGAAAGAAGCCATCAAGTCTTCGCTCATCATTCTCAAACAAGTAATGGAGGAGAAGCTGAACGCCACGAACATAGAGGTACTGTCCTGCCCTTCTGTGACTTGACAGTGTTGTCGCTCCCGCTGGTGGTGACTGAGTAGATCGAGGAAATCATTCTGCGTGCACTGTTTTTAGGTCACTGATAGCGTTTGAGTAATAATTCAATAACTTAATGAAGTGGTGGGAGCCAGAGTACAGTGAATTTAAGAGTGAAGGAAAAAACAGGGTTCTTTCTTATGACCAGTTAACATTAGCAAAAAGCAGCATTGAAGAAACAAAAGGAAAAATTAATTTAGAGAAAACTGTAAAAAGGTGAAAACAGTACAGATAACTGTTTCAAAAAATAAAATTAATTCAGCATCGTTCTTGAGACCCCAATATATGGTCCCCAGCTTTGTTTTAGGTAGTATGCCAGATACAGGCAAAGAATATAGGAAATCCAATCCCTAGCTAAGCAGTGTGCTGTGCGGTATAAGGGATACACAGGTAATTAGGGTGTAGGTAGAACTTCTGAATGCAGTAAGAACAGATTGCTCTGTAACATGTGACGAGAGTAGGACAGTAGGAAAGCATCCTGGAGGAGGGAGGAAAGAGAATTATAGCATATGCAGTAGATCAAAGGATTGGGGCCATGGGTGCAACTCAGCAGTAGAGTGCTTGCCTAACACAGCGTTCTCTCCTCAGCACTGTAAAAAGTAAAGCTCAAAAAGGAATTCTTTTTTTCTTTTTTCCTTTTGCTGGGTTGTAGAATAGAGGGGTGGCAAATAATCAAGATTGGGGACCACGGGTCAAATTCTGTATGTTCTTATTTAGGATGTTAACAGTAGATAAGAGAAAAGGTGGTAATGATGAGGGACATGTGTCGGCTTGGAAGTAGACAGGGAAATTCCTGTATTTGCCTAGGAATTGTTAGATCGTTTGCCGAGTGGGTGAATGCAGCTGAGATTAAGGAGAATGGGGACTATTGAAGAACAAGACGTCACAGATAGGAAGGATGAGGGAAATGCTGGACTACGCTTAAGTACTAGCTCAGGCTAGAGGAGAGTTTATCCCGAGATACAGAATATATAATATAGGTCTATTTCTGTTTTTAAAGAAGTTTGAAAAACACTATTATATCTGATGCTATAAATCACAAGTCAGTGTTAAATCAAACCAGCACCAACCAGGGTGTCTGGGTGGAGTGGTAGGATTAATCCCTGGTGGAAGATTGGTTAGCTAAAGGCAAGCATGGAGAATCCTGGCATCTTGTTTCAGAGGCTGCCACAAAAGGGGCAAAGCTGAGTACTAGATAGCAAGACTATCTCAGCAAAACAGACAAGTGGGGCATGGTGGTATATACCTGTAATCCCAGCACTTGGGGCAGAAACAGGAATGATACAAGAGTCCAGACCAGTCCAGTCTGTGTAGGACAGGACAATAGTGAGACCCTGTCTCTAAAAACAACAAAAACGTCTTCCACTTAATGTGTGTCCTGTCTTTTAAAGAAATCAACTTTTCTGTACAAGTAATACACAGTAACATCAACCCATTTGGACAACTATAACTCTGTATCTGCCACCATGGTCAATACAAACATTTTTATCCTCCTCTCCCAAGTTCCCTCTGGCCCCCTTGTAGTCTTTTCCACGACTGACCTCTGCTCTCAGAACTGTAGGTTTGTTTTGCATTGTAGAATTTCATACAAGTGGGTGTACAGTAAGTTTTCCTTTGTGTCTTAACTTTGACTCAGCTTGTTGAAGTGCACCTGGCCGTGTCAGTTGACTCTTAGATTATACTGCTGTGGGACATTCTTTAACCTGCTTTATAACTGTATGGCTAAGTCTGTTTTTCCAAACAGAAGTTATATTCAGTATCTTGTGTCTCCTTACTCATTCCTTAGTCATTACCATTATTTCCGCTTTTTAGTTCTGAAGACTGCCCCTTGCTGTGGTAACTCCTGCTTGTCAGTGTTTCCTGACAGCTCTAGAACTCTCAGTTGACCATCTAGTGCTGTCACCCTGCTCAATAGTCCTAAGTTAAACATTATCTTTCCAGAAAAACCACTTCCCCTTCCAATATTTCTCATCCTGGTTGATAAGAACAGCCAATGTACTTGTCATTCATAGCAAAAGCCTAGAAGACTTTGACCTCCTCTCCTAGTCTCTAATGCCTTATAGTGAGGCACTCTAGACCCCCACCCCCCAGTCTAGAGCTTTGCCTACTTAACGACTGGTGTATGATTATGTTGAGATTTGTACCCATGTCTGCTTTTTTTAAGTTCTAAGTTTTTTGTTTTGTTTGTTTTTAATAGGGTCTTACTGGGTGGGTCAGGCTGTCCAATTCTCTGTATAGTCCAGGCTACACTCAGCCACTGAGTCACCTGTGCTGACTTTATATAGGTGCTGACTTTATATAGGTACGTTCCACCACAGCTAAGGTTCTAGATTTTGAAACTGCTGTAATATAACTCTGCATGAGATGTGAGCCAGTATCCTCTTATCTCATCCTCCATTCCTCCTGTCCTTACAGAATTACCTCGTTTTGCAAATATCGCATTCATGTTTGTATGCATTTGCACATCCAGCCTGTACTTCCTCTCCTTCATTGTCCAGTTAATACACAAGTCAAAAGTGTCCTCTTCCTTGACTCCTCCCTGAACCTCTGGGCCTTCCTTTCCAAACACTCAGCACTGTTCTAACAGTCGGGTGACACTGAGAGCCTCTGGTGTCCTTAGGAAGTGAGGAGCAGGACTTTTAGCTCAAGTCCTGTTTGCTAGCACCTCTAGTATACACATGGATTATTGGTAAAGAGAGAAGATGTCTGTGCACCTTCCTCATGGAGGTTTTATAAGAGTAAAGTAAAATAATAAAACATCTTATTCATTATGTAAATGCATATCATTATGTGAATTATATGGGTTATTTTTACTTGCCTAGTGATGAGTAACTTCCTGAAGGCAGTGCAGGATTCAAAGCCTGTTAGTTTTCATTTACCTCCTGGTTCTCTAGGATCTTTTTATTCAGAGTTTGCCCCTGTAAGCTTCTGGGAGGCTTACCCCTGGGACATGAGTGACCTCACAGAACTACCCTATAGTCTTGTTCCTTTTACTGATACTGCATCTCTGTTCGCACTGACATTGCTGAAATAAAGATACCTTAAGAGAAGTGGGAATTCTAGTTATAGTTAGAGTACCCTAATAATAGAGCTCACTTATAGGCTGTCTGGACTTGAATACGTTGCTTAATATGTACTAGTAAAATATATTTGAAGTTCTTTAGACATTTCTGTAATTGGATATATCTTTTGGGAGAATCTACTAGATAGGCTTTGTGATGAAGGCATTTATTTTCATCTTTTCCCAGATCAGATTGTTAGATGTCTTCCCCCACTCCCAAATTTTACTTATTCAAAAAGAATATAGAACTAGACTGTGCTAGTTTTTGTCTGCTAACTTTCAATTAATCCTACTTCTCAATGCTGTAGAGTGGATTTGGGAGATAGTTTAGTCAGTGCAGTGCTTACAGATCTGAGTTTGATCTTCAGAATCCATGTAAAAATGCCAGGCATAGTGGTATGTGCTTGTAATCTCAATGTTTAGGAGGCAAAGATAGGAGGCTCCCTGGGGCTCATCAGCCAGCCAGCTTACTTGGTGAATTCCCAGGCAAATATAGTTTGTATCTGAACAAAAACAAGGTAGACAAGCACCCAAGGAACAACAGCCAAGTTTGTCCTCTGGTCTCCATGTACACATGTACCTGCATATATGAACACACGTTTGTTGTATGAGGAGCAGGCTGTGTCCCGCTGCCCGGCTAGCTTAGCCCTCAAATAACCACACAGAAATTGTATTAATTCAAATACTGCCTGGCCCATTATCTCCAGCCCCTTATTGGCTAACTCTCACATATTAGTTTAACCCATCTCTATTAATGTGTATCTCCACTTGACTGTGGCTTACCAGCATGAGTCTAACCAGCGTCTGGCTCAGGCAGGAGAACCATGGCGTCTGCCTGTCTCTGCTTTCTTCCTCCCAGAATTCTGTTCTGTCTTCCCCGCCTACCTGAGTTTTAAAATGTAAAAAGACAGAATGGAAAAGATGACATTTAAAACAAGCAGAGGGGCCTGGGAAGGTGGCTAGCAGTTAAGAGCACTTACTGTTTCCCAGAACCCATGTGATGGCACACAGCTGCCTGTAACGCCAGTTTCAGGGGATCTGACACCTGCTTCTGGCTTCCACAAGCTCCTGCATGTGCCCATAGAATCATGCAGGCCCACACACATTAGCGTAAACTTTAAAAACCAAATAAATCTTTAGCCATTTGAGACCGATGTGAACTAACACCTGTTTGTCGAGGTTGCCCCCGTCGTGGGGTTCTGTGCTGCACAGAGATGATGCTGTCACTTAAATCTTTAATGTAGTGTTTCTTTTGGTTGGTGGTGTTGGTCTACACTGCCAGCTGTGGGTTATTACTGGTACCCAAATGATTTCCTCCTGTAGTGCTGCTGGATGCTCTTCTTCTCCCCTTAAACAAAACCACCTTTGCCACAGAGACAGCTGTAGAGAAAATATCTTAACAAAGAATGATTGCTAGCAATTGTTTGGTCCTTTTTAACGTCCTAAATACTTGACATGGATTAACATTTAATCTGCACTGCTGCTCTGTGGATATTTAGTGTTTCCATTTTACAGGTGAGGAAATAGAGACACGGGCTAGACAAGTAATCCAAGTCACACAAGTTCATTTTGGAAGTTTACAAATGTGCCTTAAATATATTTCCTTGGGGCTGGGAATATAGCTCAGTGTTAGGATGCTTGCCTAGGGCATGCTGGACCCTAAATTTGATTTTTACACTCAAGTGTGTGTGCATATGTATACTCTTACTTTATTTTCTATGTGTAGTGTGTAAGGGCAGGCATACATACATACTATGGTATTTGTATGAGCTTAGAGAAAAATTTCTAAAGAGTCAGTCTGTCCTTCCACAGCAGGATCTGAGGATCAGACTCGGGCAGTCAGACTTGGGTGACAGGTGTCTTCACTTCCTGAGCTATCTTTGTGGGCTGGGCTGGACTTTAAAGACACTCATAGGGGCTAGAGAGATGACTCAGCAGTTAAGAGCACTGATGGCTCCTCCAGAGGTCCTGAGTTAAATTCCCAGCTCACAACCATCTATAATGGGATCCGATGTCCTCTTCCGGCTTGCAGTCATGCCTGCAGAGGACTCATGTGCATAAAATACATTAATAAATCTTTTTAAAAGAACACAATTATATATTCATATATAATGAAAAATACATACCCTATACATATATACATATATACATACACATAAATGTTATTTATTCCTAAAGGAATCTAGCAGAAAGCAAATACAAATGTACTAGCTCTGTGTTTTGTTTGCTTTTTTTGGGGGGGGGTGAGTGTGGTTTGAGACAGGGTTTCCCTGTGTAGCCCTGGTTGTCTTAGAACTCACTCTGTAGATCAGGCTGGCCTCAAACTCACAGAGATCTGCCTGCCTGTGCCCCTGAGTGCTGGGATTAAAGGTGTGCGCCACCATTGCAGGGCCTGGCTCTGTGTACTATGCTATTGCTTTTGTAATGCTTACTGAAGTAACTTTAAGAGGTAACAGTGATGTCAGTTTGCATAACTGTTAGTGGTGGATTAACCTCAAAATAGAAAAATTGGTCAATAAGAATTTTTATTTGGGAGTCAGAGTTATTTTAGGGACCTGCTGCCTGTAAAGGACACCCCAGGACAGCAGATCCCTTAGTTCCTAATAAACAGCTGCCTCACCAACACCTCTGACCAAGCTAGGGCCATCAGCAAGAAGCCCGACTCAGCTTACTTACTAACCCCTTTCTATTTCTCTGCAGCTAGCCACGGTGCAGCCTGGTCAGAATTTCCACATGTTCACTAAGGAAGAACTGGAGGAAGTGATCAAGGACATTTAAGGAGGAGCTATCCTCAGACATCTGTGGGACAATTTCAGTTCTCCCAATTGCCCTTAAACTTTATTTCCAGCTCTTATGTCATGGAAAATATCCAATATATGTGTGTTTTTTTATGATGTCTGTACATTACAGCAATTCTGAAATAAAAAAATTTTAAAATATTTGTTCATCGTCTGTGCTCTTATAATTTTAAATGCTTATGTTGGTAGGCAAAAAGGATAGTGATTAATACCCCTATTCTGTAAGCATGTCTGTTCTAAAATTATTGTAGTGGTTCTTTGCAACAGTCAGCTCTTGCCTTTGGTGCTAGAGATGAATTCAGACTAGTCCAGCACCTCCTAGTGGTTAGTAGGTGTTGATACCACTGTAAATCCATTTTAGTCTGAGTCTCTCTTAAGGAAACACTTCTGTTGTTTCCTTTATATAAAGACACTGCCCATTGACCATCAAAAGACTGTCCTGGGCATCACCCCAAAATATTGATGAGTTGGAGTAAGTCATCCCTAAAGCTACCCCTCTTCTTTGTTTCTTCATGGACTGTGTGGGAAGGGTACCCTTTTGTGAAGTTAAGGACTATGAAAAAACAAAGGAATGGCCTTCACCTCAGTAGCAATGAGAGTGCTATACTAAGCTGAATAAGAGAACCGTAAAAAATTAAGAAGTAGTTTCTGCTGAACTTTGGAATGCACTATGAACTCCTCTAAGGAGCTGTTCTCCTATAATTGGTTAAGATTAACAGGCATTCCATTCAAGCCTCAGAAATGGCCATAGGAACACTACTGACAGATGAGCCCAAAGCTATGTCAGCGGACATAGGAGATGGAACTGTTGGAGGGCTGGAGAGATGCTTAATGGTTAGCATCTCTAGCTGCCCTCCCAGAGGACCCACATGGCAGCTTACAGTCGTCTATAACGCCAGTCCCAGGGGCTCCAGTACCGTTCTCTGGCTTCCTCAGACACCAGGCATACATGTGGTGCACAGACATGCAGACAAAGCAGCCATACACATCTTTAAAATTGTGAGTTCAAGGCCAGCCTGGTGTACATAGCGAGTTCCAGGACAGCCAGGGCTGCACAGAGAAACCCTGTCTCAAACAAAAATAATGTAAAATTATTTTTAAAGTAACAGTAAAAAAACCTGTTGGGACTTGATCTAAGATTTTTAAGTTTTCAAATCACCAGGTCTTGAATATCAGGCAGTTTGAGATGTGCTTGCACTATCTGACATGACAGCTCAAGGGTTGTAAAGAATCAATTGCCGTTTATTGATAGCTTAAGAATTATTTGCTGGGACTTTGTATGCTGCTTCATTAGAACTATTTGATGTTGAATAGTGACTATTTGGGTAGCTGAATTCTCGCAAAATCCATAGTGTAGTGCAGAGCAGCTTGTGCTGATGTACGTTGAAGACTGCCGTTCACAGAAGGAGGAACTTGTGCCACACGCAAACATACAGTGCACACAAGGAAAGTAGAGAGTGCAGACTTATTGTCAACCTCCACAGATTTCTACTGATGTTAATCCTGTTATAAAGTATGATGTGAGATTCGTTTAGCCCCTGGTCACTGTTGTATTAAGTTGTAGTACTTCTACATTAAAAATCCTGTTTCAGAGGGAAGGTGGGGTAAGGGAATAGGAGAGGAGGGGGATACTGCAGTCTGGATGTTAAATGAATCAATTCAATTAATAAAGAATATTTTTTAAAATCCTGTGTCAACATAGTCATTTTTTTATTTTTAAAAATAATTGTATGTGAAGGTGTTAGATCCCCTGGAACTGGAACAGGGTGCTGGAAATTGAACTCAGGTCTCTCCAGCCCCTCAACTTAGTCATTTAAGAAATCTTTGAGGGGGGCTGGAGAGATAGCTCAGTGGTTAAGAGTATTGCCTGCTCTTCCAAAGGTCCTGAGTTCAATGCCCAGCAACCACATGGTGGCTCACCACCATCTAAAATGAAATCTGATGCCCTCTTCTGGCCTGCAGGCAGACAGACAACAGAATATTGTATAAAATAATAAATAAATAATATTAAAATTTAAAATAAATAATATTAAAAAAATCTTTGAGGAAGCTGTCTATTGTATGTTAAGTAATGCACTGGATATAGCTGTGAAAATGCCATCTGTGGTCTCCATACGGTCTACAAAAATTACATCTAGTGGGATAAGAGACAGTAATTCCCTTTCATGTGTGTGTGCGTGCACACATGAGCCTGAGTCTTGTGAACAGCCTAAGAAGGCCTGAAGAAGGCATTGGATCCCCTAGAACTGGAGTTACAGGTGGCTGTGAGCCTCCATGTGGGTGCTGCGATCTAAGCCTGGGTCTAACACTGTAGATTAATGCAGAAGTGGAAATGGATGTATTGTTTTGAAGAGGTGAGATGCATCAGTCGTAAGTATACAGAGGAAAAGAAGCTAAGGGAAAAACCGTAGCTCTCCCAGGTTACAGTTCTTCCTCCCATTTCCAAGGCAGCGTATCTGCACTTTGTAACTGAGAAGAGTAAATGCATTGCAGCTATAATTACACTATGCATTGTTTAAAGAGAAAGACATTTCATTTTCTTGAGGTTACTTGTCTCCAAGAAATGGCCTTACTGTGGAAGGGAATGGTGGTGTGATAATTGCCTATTAATACTTTTGCTACAAATATATTTGGGAAAAGCATAGTTTTTAGTTCCCATCCTGGAACTGGATGGGTATGAACTGCCATGTGGGTGCTGGGAAACTTTACATGTTTGTAAAATTTACATACTTCTGGGAATAAAGAAAGTTCTCATAGAGCTGGAGAGATGATTCAGTGGTTAAAAGCACTGACTGCTCTCCTAGAGGACCTGGGTTCAATTCTCAGCACCCACATAGCAGCTCACAACTATCTGTAACTCCAGTTCCAGGGGATCCAAAACTCACGGACATACATGAAGGGAAAGAAAGATCTCATGTGTAGTATTTTATACTTCAGAGGTGGAACACTTGCCCAATATGGGAAAGATCCTGAGTTTAATCCCCCTTGTTGCAAAATAATAATAAAAAAAATTCGGTGCATGGGTAAGTTACATGTCAACAGTTTGAGGAAATCTAGCATGCTGTTAGGTACATAACTAAAAGCAACATATTGAAAAAATAAAGGTTGATCCTGGAGTGGTATGTAGCACATGCCCAAAGTCCCACAATGTAGGAGACTGAGAAAGGAGAATCAAAGATTTGAAGCCACCTTGGGCTTCAAAAACAAGATATAGTCCCTCTTCCAATAAACCTACAAACAAAAACCTAAACAATTGTACAAAATAGCTAAAAGATGAATCTGGTAGTGTCTCCAGCAGGTGGCACTGTTGAGTTAGCTTTCTTCTTTCCCTATAGTAAGACAATAGACCATTCATCTTCGTCACCCAAACAAAGAAATATTCCTTTGTAGCCCCTTTTCTCCCCTCCGTAACTGATCACATGCTACTGGAACAGGCTGCCTTGTGACCTAATCCATAGTTGGCACGAATTAAACATAAGCCGTACTTTAAAAAATAATGTGACATATTTACAGAAAGAAATATTCATCATTTTTCATCTTGCTCTGTAGCTCAGAAACTGGAGGACTTTTTCTGTTGATTTGCCATCCTGCTCAGCATTCAAAGGCTTCACATTTCATCTCTTACTCTGGTTTTAGGGAGGGAAAAAAAAACCTAAATATGTAAATATTTTTGTTTGCAAAAAACAAAATCAGTATTTTGAAGGACATGCTGGAGTTGGGTGGTACCATTTCTCTGTAGAGCCAAATTCTCATTTGGATTTACTGTTACTTTAAAGTTAAAAGTCACTTCCCGTTTGCTTCTTTTCTGGTGTAGATTTTGCACACTTTGTATCTTTTTGTCTGGCTTTGTGTGCTCCTACTAAACAGCTTGAGACGTTGTGTGAAGAGGTGAAGCTAAAGGTTTAGAACTGGTTTTACCAGCAGTGCATGTTCTGGAAGCTGTGTGCACAGCTTCTGCAGCGTAGGGAACAGTGGAGGGTTTATTTACTGGAGGTGGGGTACTAATTTAGGAGGCATCATATTCTGAGAAGGAACTGGTGCGATGCACTCACTGCAGGATTAAGAGTATTTTATTTTAACTAAAATCACGATGTGCCTGTATTGAAATGATCATATATATAGGCAACTCTCTTCCCGTTTACCTACACTTGATGGCAAAGTTACCTACATTTCCAAGTCCAGGGAAGCCAATAAGTAATAAGTAATTCCGTTTCTGGACTACCTCCACGCAAACGAGGAAGGTGAGCGAGGCCAAACGTGTTTGGAAAGACTTTTGCGGCTTGCATGAGTCACGGGTGTAACGATGTTCATCTGCCTCCATAGGATTTTCGCATTCACCTTCTTGGCTCCTTCAGCAGACAATGGGCGAGCCAGAGGGCCGGGGTTAAAATCCTGATGCACCAGTTTACGTCGGAGCCCCTTTTCCAGCTGAGAGGAGTTCAGGAATTCTCTGACTTCCAGACGCAGTTTCCCCCGACGGAATTTTGAGGAGCATTTCAGGGGGCGGGGGCAGGGAGCGAAGGCAACGTGACTCAGTCCTGACCCGAGGGTCTCGGGAGGCGCTGCGAACTCGGGGGCCGAGCCGGGAGGGGTGGGGAAGCCCCTAGGCCAACTCCGGGCCCCCAGCCCGCAGACGCCGAGCGACGGTGGGGAATGACCTCAGCCGTCCCTGCCACGTTCCAGCCAATCAGTCCCGCATCTTGGCATCCGAATCCAGGACCCCCGAAGCCGGAGGCGACGCGAGCCAATGAGGAGTGGGCCGGGGAAGAAGGACAGGC